AGATGCCATACAAAGACCCACAATCTTGATCATGCCGTTGTAGCCACGTGAGCTTTTCTTTGCCTACATCGGGTTTCTCACGTAACGCGGCACTGGAGATCCTATCTTTTGCAATGGCGTAGTGGAGTTGCTTCCCGGCAGCGGACGCCCATGCCTGCGCACGAAGCTTGTTGACGTGGTATTTGACCGCGTTTGTGGCAAAGATTGCTTTTGCTGTCGCAAACTGTGCAGGCGTCTCTGCCTGGTGGTCGATAACTCGTATCTTGGACTGCCGTTCCTCACGGCAGACGCAGCACTCAGACTGCCGGATAGCGCTTGGTCTCGCCTTTCTGGCCCACAATTGCTGACAGCTTCCGTTGTCACACTCCAGCTCTCGTCCATTCCAGCTTCCGGGTACTGCTGTATCGAAGCCGTGCAAAAAAGCATGGTTCGTGTTTGACAAAGAACTGTTTCGAATTTCGTTTTGCGCCGTTTGCAACCACACATCTTTCGTGCGTTCGCACTCCACAAGTTGTGTGACGCCTTGGATGCCACTTTTCGACTCCCCCCACACCAGCTCTTGTCCATGGATTGTGTGGGCCACTTTCTTTGTCCTGCCTTGCGTCAACCATTCCCACGGAACTTCCCCCAAGAAGGTCCCTCGAGGTGGCGGCAATTGCCACAGGTCGCCGGCCAGGATAACATTCAAGCCGCCAAATGGCCTTGCGTTTGCCCGCTCCTTGGCGTACTTGCCTGGGGCCAGGTCGCGGACAAGCTCCCGGCAGCGTAATTCCAAACGTGCCAAGAGTTCTGCGCTGACCATGCTGATCTCATCAATGATCAACCATCGCAAACGCAACGCTTGGACACTCAAGTCCAGCAGCCTGTGCCCACTGATGCGTTCATCCCCTGTGCCTTGCCAATTCAATCCAAAGGCATGGTGAATGGTGTCCCCATTCAGATCGTTGGCCATGACCGCTTGCAAGGTCACTACTTGAAACTGGTCCCCTTGCTTCCACTGCAAAATATCTTCAAACAATTGTTGCCTTATCAGATTCAGCACATAAGACTTTCCTGTGCCAGGACCACCATGTACAGCCCAGCGCAACGGTTCTCCTACGTCAGGGCCTTCCACACCCATCTCTTGCGTAACTTGGCCGGCAACTTTGGCGCACAACTCCGCTTGTTTGGCGTTGCAACAACCGTGCGAAAGGCTGTTCGCCCACGATTCTACACATTGCATCCGGCGCGCTACGTCTACGATCTTCATTTCCACGTGAGGTTCCCACACGCGCGCCTGCTCGCGCACGGCTCCTGTTCTCCTCTTCCGGCGAGCGCTTTTGAGGAGGCTTGCACTGTCCAAGCCTTGGCCCGGGTTATAGTCTGACCTCGTTGTGCACTCCGGACACTCGTTGGCAGGCACGAAGATGCGTGATCGGCAAATCTGGGGGGTAAATTACCCTCCGCTTTTGTATGCCTTGAGTCGGAAAGAGGGGTAAGCATTTCTGACATCATACGGACTGTACATACACTAGGGCGTCCGTAGTGTAGGAGAAGCATGGATAAAAGGTATATGGAATAGAGTGTCTTGAGGAAATAGCCGGCTTGTGGTTATTGCAAATCTGGGGGGTAAATTTACCCCCCGCTTATGTATGCCTTGAGCCGGAAAGAGGGGTAAGCATCACAAGGACTGTGCATACACTAGGGCGTCCGTAGTGTAGGATAAGCACTGGTAAAAGGTATCAAGAATAGAGAGTCTTGAGGAAATAGCCGGTGTATGGTTATAGCAATCCCTGTCCGGCTTCTGGTCTTCCGGCTCCTCCCCCCAAAAAAAAGGGGTCGGCGGCACCAGGGCGGAGCCCTTATTATAATATTGCGCTGGAGGATGAATCTGCTTGGTTGCACCCATATTAACCGGCTCTGTCTGGTCTGGTCACGACCACAAGTGGCCTTCATCTATCTCTATATCCACCTCAGCGCATCTGATTTGTCCATTGCCAACAACAACATGTTGATTTCTGGTATTGAAAATAGTATGTTTTCTGTTTGGTACCTGTTATAGAATCTATATATCAGAAAACGGACGGGCTTTAACCTGACACGTTGGACATCCCATTCTATAGCATCTCCATAGGCCCCACCTCCATCTCCCATCACCGGCCTCTGGGGACGCCTTCTGCAGGCACGGCCCGGGCGTTCCGAAGCCGGCAGCGTCAATCATGACGTAGCCGGGCTTCTCGCCCGCGCCCGAGTCGCCTTGAGAGACATCCAGCTCCACCCAGAAGCCGCCGGTAGGGCCCTTCCTCAGAAAGCCGGATTGTTGCGAACGGAAGCAAGGACCGTAAGCATAAAGAGATCGCACGGGCACCGCACACAGCACGAAACACACCCACGGGCACGCGGCCCAGATTTGATCTAACTGGAACCTACAGGGGTGCTCGTGCCTTTTTGAGGGTTGGAATTTTGATTGCTGCTCGGCCTCACGTGTACAGTAGCATGCTTGGGGCTCAAGAGTGATCAGTGAAAATGTGACCACACCTATGTAAAGGCCAAGCCTGCAAGAAAGAGTATGAAAAGTTGCGAGGCACGATGCTTACGTTGCAAAGATGACATATTACAATCACATCTTCAACATGGCGCGCGTGAACCTCTTCAACATGCTTCAAGCAAAGCGTCCAGATCTTCCCGGTGGTGTGCACAATCGCACCAACCTTCCGATTCAGCTGCACAATCTTCTGGGTCTCAGGGTCAGTCCCTGCTTTCCTGAAGCTGTCATGGTCTTTTCTCACCCGGTCTTGGACATTCTGGCAGGTGTTCCAAAAGTGAGAGATGAAGCTCCAGGTCTAGTTTGGGACTGTCTTCTTGCTTTAATACTATGGCCTGGCCCAAAACCCGCCATACCTCAATTATTAGCTCCTTGTTGAGCAAGTTGTTCTTTTCGGGGAGAGATGGGGGCGCTCATGCTGAAGCCAAAAGTAACCATCCAAGAAGTTCTCTCTATAGACGACCTGACAGTATCCCTACACTACCAGTATCTTGCTTGTGGGCTCTTCTTTTGGAACCACGAATTGATATTAACCCTTTGAGATTCCGGAAGGCTACAGCAAACTCTGTTGTGGATACGTATTCTTGGTTTCTGGTAATAGCTGTCAGACTCTAAGAGGTCATGTCCTTGATGGGACACACAAGAAAACACAAACATATATACTGCATGTCTTTTTGTTGTATAAGTCCAGCTATGTGGGGCACAATAGTCGCCTCTCAACAATTCCACGGCCAAAGGGGCTTGAAGATTGGCCCTAAAGTCACGAAGTAGTCCCCGTCTCGGAGCTCCTCATCGCGCCCGAGAGGAACTGCTCTGGGATCAACGCATCTGCTGATGCCCTTGTTCAAAGAAGTTCAAAGATGTTCACCCCATACATGTGAATAGTGGATGTCACATCTTGTTCTTCATGCGTCGGTACATGTTAGGGTTCAACTTGAGATTGAATGCCTGCCTATCCAACCTAATGTTTTTACTAGTCCCAGTGGTCGGAACCATTCCATTAGGATCCATATCTCCTTGGACTTGGCAGTCTCGGGCTCCGTTGCAGGGCTATCTTTGCGGATGAGCAGCGCCTGCACTGGAGCTCTGAGGAGACTGGGCCCAGCTGCATAGCTTGAACACCAGGCAACAAATTGTTTGGGACCTGTCCACTCTGCCCTACACTGATCCAAATATCGTGAAGTGAAGGGGAAAACAAAAGCCGCATGTGTTCTGCTGAGAACACTGCATGTATCAGCTGCATGAGCATTTACCACGAGCATTTACCACGCACTGAAGCAAGCCGCCGAGCCTTATCTTTGAGGGTCACACTCACCCAACCACTGGCAGGTCCTTGACCGGTGACCAACTTGTAATGCAGCCGTTCACCTGCCAACTCCAACTCCTCAACAATGGCACCAGTACTAAGTCGCTCCGGCAATTGCTCCTGAGGGCGTTGAAACAAGACAAATCGGTGGGGAATGACTTTGATCTATAACTTGGGTGTGTGTGTGTGTGTGTGCGTTCCTGTTCCTGACGCGAAATCTGAAATCATGATTCAACCCATTTGACCTTCTCTCAAGCCATCATAGCAACTGATTGACCTGGTCACATGTCAATCTGAGCCCAAGGTTCACTCGAGGTGCCTTGCCCTGCACGCACTAAGATGCCGCCCTTGTCTCCACCGCCCACCACCTCCCACATGGGCTGCGCCGCTGCACGTCCCAAGCAAAAGAAAGAAGCTAAGAACTACTGCTACCCTCTGGGGTTCCAAAGCCCAAAGAACGTTACATGTCAAGTGGCTCGTGTCAGAGGTTAAACAGGTCACCTGCTTGAGAAGGAGAGCTTGCAAGACGTTTGCTCTCTGAGAAGATCATAGAATCATAGGCCCTTAGGCTATTGCTGCGAGTGTTTGCAAATGTGCTTGGAATCAAAACTGTAGCGTTTGGCTTGAACAAGCAGTGCAAAGTCACCAGTGAGAATCATGCACTCCAGTATCTTTGGTCCATCTGACGCATGGGGTGGTCATTTGGTGTGGATCTGATTCAATCACATTTAATCTGATGAATCAGAGCAACAAGTGTATCACCTGCAAGCCATGCACTGGTCAGCTATCAACCAGAATGACCTTTTCTCACAATCTCCCGTGTAACATGGCCCGCTTCTAGTGCCGCAGGCAACCAAGTAGCTTCATGCTCGGTCAAAGACGCAGAAGGTCTCCAGGTGATCCTGCGGCAGAGTCAACAGCCAAATCTAGATGTTTTTGGGCAAACTAAGCAAACAAGCAATGCGTGGACTTCAGCGTTTTGGTGTTTTCCACATCTTCACTCATTGCTGTGTGGTCGCCACCAGCGAGGTTGGAATCAATCCGTTCGAACTCTCTGCTCGGTGGATCGAGAAACAAAGACAAACTCCACCCCTTGAGTCAGCCAGGGAATCTGCTCAGGCCGCCCTCTGATAAAGTAAGACTGAAGGGAATCGTTTTTCTAGCTGTTTGGTGGGCACTGTCACTATACTCAAGTTAAGGTGTAGGGCTGTGCCTGTACCCAGCATCCCCATGTAGCTTTCGCCAAGGATTTCAAGCCAGGCAGGCGGTCCGCACCAGGGAAGAGGATGAAGCCCTCTGCATGGTGGACCTAGATCAAAGAAGGAAGGCCTTCAGCTTGTTCAAACTGCTCATGCAAAGATCCACAACAAAAGGGCTGAAAAAGCTTTGGAACCTGTTTGTTGGAATGTTGGGTGAGTTTACATGTGGTGAATCGATCCAAATTGTTCAGCATTCCCTAAGTTGCCACAAGTTCACACCTCACTTCACCCATTTGCTGTTTCGCTGTAAACACCACGAACTCACGAAAGAACTCCTTGTTCCACCAGGCCAAAAGGTTGATGTCAGGATCAGCACAGCTGTCACCATCAACAGCTCTCAGTGAAGAACCTAGCGGCCTACAGCCTCGCAGGGCCCCACACCGTCCATCCTGCATCTATCAACTTTTGGCAGTCACGCTGGAAGGCGGGGAAGCCGCAGCTGACCTGTGTGGGGAGAAGATACAGTGAGACATGCAACTTTGGTGTAGTAATTATAGATGATGAATGCGTCTTTTATATACATCTGACAAAATAATGCTGTTCCGAATCATCTTCCGTCCTCCCCCCAAGCTCTCTGTGAGATGAATTGCCAACTCATCGTCCTTCTGCTCATGCGAAAAGAAACAACAACAAAGTAGAATTGTATTTATATGTATTTATATATATATATTGTTTGTTTGTGCGAAACACCGGAAACACACCGGGCTTGTAGGTCAAAAACAAGCCCGTTCACCTCCCAGATCTAAGGGTTTTTCACAGAGCCCTAAGGATGCATGCACTAGTGTTCATCGCCTGAAGTCTCAAAGCGACCAAATGATCATATATGATATGTGATCATAATCATATTATCTAAGACTGCTGCATAAATGAGCCGCTGCTGTTTCTTCTTTCTCGACCTCGTGACAATTACAACTTGGAAAGTGCTGACAAGTTTGTCGTCGAGCCCATTCAAGGTAAGAATTGTATTCAAAGTCTTGATGTTCAGGTCCCGTTCGTTTGCATTGGCTGCTGTCCAACAGGATGATTCTCTTATTGACTGACGTTGGCTGCTCTCCACAAACCAGGTCCCAAGCCGACAGAGGGCTTGGAGAACAGCCTCGTCCAACCCCCTCGGCTGGGATGTTCTGTCTGGAGATCTCTGAATTAAGTGGATCCAATTCCTACTAGTCAATTCGTCAATTACTTGACTCTATTGGAAGGCGCACTTGACTCTATCCAAGTCGGTTGCAAGGCTCACTTTACTTTTGTAGATTGGACAGTGATGAAGTTACCCAAGAAGAGCCACTTGAGTGTCCAACTTTCTGGGCGGGTCCACAATCACCACATCAGCTGTAGGGACGCTCTTGACCTGACCAAGATAGCCAGATCATCGAAAATAAATGAAACATGTATTACAACTGGGCCACAAACTAGGGCTATATCATCTGCGTGAGTCGCTCATGCTCTCACCATGTCAAATGCCTCGTGACCGGGTCACGAATGGAAGCATTGACTTTCATTCCAAACCCTTAAAAACGCAACAGTTGCTAAATGCCTCATTGCATCGACAACCGAAATGTCAAATCATCGGAACTGGTTGGATATCATTGGATATCTCCTGTTTGGAAAGCACCGGTTTGACCCGCTCTGATTTGAGCCTGTGAAGCGGCATCACCCTGGACGTAGCTCAAGTGTGGCCTGACAGCGCCAAGAGTGACATGTCTTGGAGCGCCACGACGATCCGCTAGTCTTATTGCAGGCTTAATGACACTACCACAGTCTTAAAAAGGGCATCTTGCTTTACCGGTGCGAAGAGAAATTTGAATGCAAAACGATGTGAGCAAAGGCGCTCACAAACAGAAAACTGATCAGACCTACAAAAGTCCATTCTGAGTGCTGATGCATGCTTGGCCAATCTCAAAGGCGTCTTTCTCATTTTCCTTTACCCCATCAGCTTCACCCCGCTGTGCTAGCCGAACTCTGAAGTTCGCAAAACCTCGCCATTCTGCCAAAACAAGGTCAAGTTAGCTGTGACAAAGTGAGACACGTTTATTGAACTTTTGAATTGTCGCCTGTGCGCAATGAGAGTCGCCGTGCGAACTGGAGGTCTTGCCGTTGCCCCGTCTGCAACACCCAAGGGGGTTGCACTCACACTGTCAGGCCTCAACGAAGCCCTACAAGCCAATGTTGGCATCAAGAGCGCAGTGGGATGTCTTCCACTCTAAAGGTTGAGACAAACATCATCAAACATCTATATTGTATATAACCGCTCTGACCCAAATTTAGCGTTGGTAGGAAATGAAGGCATACAACAGAGAAAAGGAAAGAAACACTCCCCCTGATGCACTCATGTTTGCCTTTCTGAGCTGAAGGAAGCCTTGCAACATCACGGGAGCATTCTGGAGACAGCGCTCTTCAATGCAAAAAGAATTAAGGACCTCCGATCATGATCCTAAGGAGAATATCAAATGATTGACTATGTTTCAGGAACTCTCCCACCAATCACCGCTGGTTGGGAACTAGTCAACTTAGAACCCCAGCATGCAATCTGGAGATCCCTCCCATGATGTAGTTGCCAGCGATCTGTTGACCAGCCAGCTATTGTAGCATTAAACTCACCGGATTTTCACCCTCTGATGCAACCAAAGCCAAAGTTTCCACAGTTGGACTGCAGGACCATGGAATATGCTTTGCACATCCGGCTCAGTTGAAACCCTAGCTTCAAGCCCTCGAGTAGCTACCAATCAGCAATTATAATCAACTGGATCGTATGATACATGAGCTTTGCCCCTTGTCGAACAAGTCATGAGCAAACCTGCTGTCGAAAGGCCAGGACCATTGCTCAAATACTGTAACTACATGTAATTACAGTAGTTCTTCCAGCAGCATGTCTTAGAATCAGCCCGGACCCGAGGACTTGGAGAAATCCCTCTCGAGGATGTGGGGCTCTGGATCATCTCAAAGTTCCGGCCATCAGTGTGCCTGCTTTACGGTGATGATGACAAGCCCCCGCCAAGAAATCAGTTTGGGAAGGTGATCTCAGGAGCCACACATGACCAATTGAATTCCGTGCTGCAAACGAAGCCATTGCAAGAGCAATGAAGTTTTACCAGCGAACAAGGCGGACGAAGCGCTCTCAAATGTTTTGATGCATGACATCAATCTGAACAAAGGATTGATTCTATGACCTATCCCAATGCTCCCACCGCTCAGCAATAGCACCACCAAAATGATGTCAGAAATGATGCCAGCATAGGCAGCGCAAGGACCCAGTTCCTCGCGGCTGTGCCATGGGGGCCGTGAAAGCTGGTGAAAGCTGAAGTCTATCCAGCCCCCGGAGCCCCCCATCGAATACAAGCCAGGCGAAAGAAGCCAAAAGCCGTGGCTTGGACGAAGGATGATGAACTATGAGTCTATGACGAACTCTGAATCGGCTGAGACATCCAGTGACTCATCCAGCTTCTCAAATCTCCTCAGAAGCTTGGCCTTCTCCAAGTCCTCTTCCGCAGCCTCAATCGTCTGCGCCATTGCCTCGGCTGCTCGCTGGCGCCTCCAGGCGGCGGCGTCGGCCTGACGGAAACAGCAGTTCATCAGTCACATCAGAGTCTCTGGATGTCTCTCCTTCTCCACACCTGATGATTGAGAGGTCATTTTTCAGCGTCCCCTTGCCCCTACTCGAAAATCATCAAAGCAACGACTGCTAATTACATCTTATTACCGTCAAACAAATTGAATCTGTAGCACAAGTCCGAGCAAAGTCCCTTGCAAACCCCACACCGCTGGCTTTAGCTTTGAGCCTCGCGTCTCCACTCCTCCGCTTTGAAGTGCCAAAAATCTGCATCTTGCTCCAACCGGCTGGCCTCACCCGGCGAAAAAGGGCATGTCTTCCACTTACAGGCTTCCCATGGCTTCCCCGGTTCGGTTTGTCCCTACACTGATGCTACATCGCACGGGAGACAGACTGTCACATGCACGAGAATGTTTCAAGGGCTCATTTGCAAGTTGCACTAGAAAAATGGTGCCCCCTTTCCAGGTCTCAACCCGCTTGGAGACAATGGAGAGGCAACTCTGTGCCTTTCTTTGACCCCGCGAGACACATCCCCATGAGCCATCTCTTTTTCCTCTGACGTGCCCAACGAATCCCTGTGAAATGCTTGGCACTTTCTGCTTCGCAGCTACATGAGAATGCCTCTGACCACCTCAAAGCGATCCAAATACTCGCAAAGAGTTTCCACCTTGTCGGTATGCAGTTCATGCGTGAGCTTCGACCAGTCTTTAGGGATACCATACAGCTTCTCAGATGAGCGATATGCCAATCGGCAAGTGCTGCTCTTGATGCCTGTGCGCTGGCCCTTTGTCACCTCGTCGAACTCCACAGCAGTCAATACCGCCAAAGTCTCGTATTGGAAGAATCTCACCTCAGACTCTTTGAGCTCTCCCCTTTTCATGTCCTCGTAGAACTACCAAGGAACTAGGAAATTGATATATTTACAGTTGGTCAAATTCATTCAAATTCCGCAGCCACCTGCAAAGATTGCAAACACCTATAGGGCTTTATTGCTGCTGCCTACTTGAATGTCAAGGAGCAAAGTCAAGGCACAGACCTGGGGTCTGGAAAACGGTGCCTCCGAAAAGCGCGGCATACATCGGCATCCGAAACCGTCCAGTTCGGACCATCCCTGACAGTCTCTGGTGCCGAAGATGGCTGGTTCCCATTCGACTCACAGTAAGTGTGAAAGATGAAAGATGCAAAACATCTGGCAAAATGAAAGGAGATGGAATTGCCATCTCGTTGGTGGATTGGGCCAAACTCATTTCACACCGTTGTATTGCTTGTTGGCAACCTTTTTCTTAGAGAAACTGCATTCGACGCAGCCGATGCGTGGCTTGCCTGGGAAAAGGGTGATGCCATGCTCTCTCCAGCGCTGGCCACACCAGAAATGAATGCTTTCCTGTGCTGTGTCTTGAGCACCCACTCCGTCCCAAACTTGCAACAGTCCAGGGGGAGTATGTTCGTTCAATTCGTTCAATGCATATGAGACTTCGAGGAATCAATTTAAAAAAAAAAAAAAAAACATAACAATAATAATAATAAAATAATAATATAAAATCTCACACACTATCGTGCTGATGTTTAGAGGCGAGAATCTTTATCCTTCCTCACAGCATTATTCGCGTACTTCTGATGCAGCTCTTCAATAATGTCGTCACCATCGCACGTGACATTGTAGCCTTTGGTTCGATCCGCCTTTTGTGCGTTGAAGAGTGAGTCATCAGGATACAAAATGCATCCTGAGCAATGGAGGAAGAAAATCCCCCTCTGAGCAAGTGGCCTGCCAAAAAGTGTTTGCGTCCATTGGGGGGGTTCTCTTAGAAGCATCAATGCTCATCCAGCTAACAAAGGCAAGAAATGAGTTGGGGGGGTACAAACCAACTAACTAACTATATAACTAACAAACAAACAAACAAACAAACTAACTAACTAACTAACTAACCAAACGAACTAAACTAACGAAATGAACCAAACGAACCAAACTCACTAAACTCACTAAACTAACTAAACTAATTAAACTAACCAGACTAACTAAACTAACTAAACAAACTAAACTAAACTAAACTAATCTAAACTAAACAACTAACTAACTAACTAACTAACTAACTAAACAAACAAAGAAACAAACAAACAAACAAACAAACAAACAAACAACAAACTAACAAAGAAGTTAACTGACTGACTGACTGGCTGGCTGACTGACTGACTAACTAGCTAACGAACGAACGAACCAACCAACCAACCAGCTAAAGAAAGAAAACAGGAAATGAAAGGTGCCAGTTGGGTGGAAAGCGTCTGTCTTTTGACTTTGAGATTGGTTCAATCACACCGCCAACTGTCAGAGGCCAAGCATAGCTGGAATTCCCACTTGCTTCTGGGCCTGCCACATGAATCAGTGGAAACCATATGCAGGTGACCATGTACCTTAGTCCGCCAGAAAAGCCCAGCAGCTGTCCAGCTGTGATATACATCAAGCGATTCATTCCCAAACACCACCATCCCAAGATGCTCAAAGTAGAACTCCTCCTTCGAAAACATCTCTTTGCCTCAGAAAGGTTAATGATGTTTGTGTGAGACATAGACTCCTTGACCTGACTCAGCCTAACTCACTGTTTTTCGGGTATGCCGGTATGCCTCAAACTTGTAAAACAACAAGCAACTGAATTCTTTTGGACGATTCCCACAAGCTGCCAAAACGTCCTCCGACAATGACAATCTCTGAAAAATCCCACAATGCACAACTAGTTGTTCCAAATTGTTCCCGCACCAGGCACAGGTATCTTGACTTCACGCAAGTATGTTATTGTATTCCCATTCACCATGAAAAAAGAACGTTTCAGAATGTTTCAGAAACATTTCAAAGAAGTCGCAAACTGAAGAGAATTACTTGCTTTAGTCCAGCGTCAATGTGAAAATCGACCGACACCGAGGGCTCAGAATCTCGCACCAAGCCACAGGTCTCTGACTTTGCGGGCAATAGAAGAGGGCTGTTGAGCACTTCCTGAGCACAAATAAGCACTTTGCCGGGGCATCGACCGCCAAAGAAGGTGCCTTTCACACCGGCCATGGGCTCCATGACTCCATGCAGGAAAAAGCATTCGCACACAACTCAAAGGCCAAAGGGAGTTGTTTGACACACGTCGAA